GAAAGAAAGAAAGAAAGAAAGAAAGAAAGAAAGAAAGAAAGAAAGAAAGAAAGAAAGAAAGAAAGAAAGAAAGAGAAAAAAAGAAAACTTGGAGCAAGGCTTGAAGAAAGTGTCAGATGATGCAGCAGTGAGTAGCCATAGTTTGGCTAATGAGAAAGATGAAAAAGATACTAGAACCTCACAGAATAAACCTTGTTCCCTAAGGAAGATAATCCAAGGAGGCAGCCAAGAGTAAAAAGCAGATTTGGAAGATGTTTTTCATCCTGCAACTCAGAAACGGCTTTCAGATCTTAGTGCAGAAAGAAGCCGTGAGCCTTCAGAGAAGAAAGCAAGTCCTATGGAAGACAGTGGCCAATCCCTAAAGAATAGAGTTGGTCTTTCCTGGAAATATGACTTACTTTGTTGATTGCTTTTTCCTACAGATAATAGAGCAAGGCACAAAAAAATCAGCTGTTTTTGGCTCTTTCTTTCTAACCACTGGATCAAACTTAGTTGAGCAAGGGATAGTAGAAGAACTGGGGGGTGGGGGGGGGAGTGAATCAAGACCTGTTCCCTCTCATTCCAGAGTATGGCACATGGCACGATAGACTTACGAGAAAAATTCATTCCAATTTAATATTAGGAAAAGCTTCCTGAGTAGAGAGTTAGACTCAATTAAATGGCTTTTCCCCTGATTCTACATACTGTATTAGTTCAACAAATTAATCTTGTGGAGGTACAGTACATGGTAAATTATTGATGGTAACGCAAAAGTTAGCCATCTCTTGGTTCCAGTTCTAGTTGCTTTTCACTCTTCAGACACATTGGGGAGCATTTGCCAATGCAGAATGTGTATATCCTTTTCCCACAGCCACTTCAGAGGATAGAAAACGAGGTGGAGCTTCGGGGTGAACAGCACTCAATGGGGGGCTTCTCGTATTCTCCTTCCCACCATACTCCTGCCTTATCGCCCTCTGTACCATTGTATCTTCCACACACGCACGACCCACTTCACCAAGAACTGCCGTTTGGAGTGGTAAGTGCCCAGTTAAAGCAAAAACTGCTCTCTGTGGCCTCCGAACCAGGCAGAAGAGGCTGTCTTTAAAAATAAAACAAAACCCTTTTGTTTGGCCACCTAGAGCCATCATACCCTGGAGGGGTGGGGTGGGGTGGTAGCTGTGTGGTGATTGGGTGATGGAACCTGTTGAAGGATAGAAATTGGGTACCTCCTGCCAGGTTATATTCCAGCAAAGAAAGGAAGGTTAGGGATTTAGAAGATGCAGCTGGATAGGCAAGTCTAAGGGAGGCTCAGGTTTAGACCTGAGAGTATTTCCCCTTGACAGAGAAAAATGGTTAGGAATAACGTTAGGCTAGGAAAGTCAGTTGATGCAATAGAGATTCTAGTTTATAGAAATAGGGGAAGCCACTGAAAACCTTAAGGTACAAGTAGTCCTCGGTTTACAACAGTTTAGTGATCGTTCAAAGTTACAACAGCACTGAAAAATGTGGCTTATGACTGTTTTTCAGAGTTACGACCTTTGCAGCATCCCCGTGGTCATGAATAATCCAAATTCAGATGCTTGGCAACTGGTTCTTATTTATGACTGTTGCTATGACCCCAAGGTCATGTTGATCCTCTTTTGCGACATTCAGAGAAGCAAAATCAATGGGGAAGCCAGATTCACGGGTTACTAACTTAGCAACTGCAGTGGTTCACTTAACAACTGTGGCAAGAAAGGTCATAAAAATGGATCACAGAACTCACTTAAATGTCTCTGCCAGAAATTTTGGGCTCAGTTGTGGTTGTGTGTCAAGGACTGTCTATTCAAAAAAGACTCATTTGTTCCTATGTTAACCTAAGTGCCTATGTTGTCTTCGGTCTGTCTTATGTTCTCTCCATGTTATACTACAAGACAATAATGGATAAACATAAGGATAACAAAGGAAAAGACGCTCATTCCCTTCAAGAGGGTATATGACAGGCACCCCAGTGGATGGGCTGGTGTCCTTTCTTAAAGGCAGTCCAGAACTGCCGTTGCTAGGTGATGCAGCCACGCAGCACAATGTCACATGACTGCATCACATAGCAATGACACTCCCAGCTAAAATGGCAGTCTTGGTTGCCATCATAACCCCAAGACCCGTGGGGTCATTAGGTGGAAATCTGGGGGTTGCAAGTAAGGATTGTGAGGATGTTACAGAGGGAGAAATACTGCAATATTCTACATGTGAGAGAGGTAGCCAACTAAGATTCCAGTGACAGAGAAATGTGGCTTCCAGTGCTTTGCATAACTTCTTTCTGTTACTTAGGACAACAGGAATAAATGATGCAACATAGTAAAAACAAAAAAAAGAAGAACATGTTCTCTTTTTTTGGTTTGCAAAACGGTTCACGGTAAAGGACCCAGCTTTTCTCTGTGCAAACTTTGCTTGGATAGAATATGTTAATTCTTTTTTTTTTTCACGTGGCATGGAATGGATGCAGAGCTTACAGATTAGGCAGCATTGACGAAGCTTGTGATGTTCCCACAGCCATATCCACATATGATGCCCCGGCGGCTGAACTCCCAGCGATACAGATTACAGCAACCACTGCCTCCTCCGCCACCTCCTCCTCCGCCATACTATCCAAGCTTCCTGCCATACTTTCTGTGAGTATCTGTGATAACAATGAGAAGAACCCCGAATATCCTTCCTTCGTTGGAATAAAGCATGCAAAATTAAAAACTCAGCTTTCCCTAAGAGCTACGCTGGGAGTATGGACCACCATCTTTCCCCAGCAATATCCTCCATCAAAACATAGATTTGGGTGTGCCAAGAGTGCATGTGTTACTGCCCCCTCTGTTCACTGCTATCTATTTCTTTAAAATTGCAGTTCAATGCTTCCTGTGTCGCCAACAGCTGTGGGGCCCACAATAAGTTTGGACTTGGATGTGGATGATGTAGAGATGGAAAACTATGAGGTAAGTTTGCTTCTGTGTGTTGATTGTTAGAATGGAGAAGGGCTCTTGGGCAGAAAGATTTGGATGTGGGGAGGTTGTTTACAACAGACCATGGGTGTTAACTCCTGAAAGACTGGGAAGGACGAAATGTTTTTCTACCAGGAGTGGAAGAAGTATGAGCTCCTATCTGTTCTGGTCCTCAGATTTCTTTAATTGTGACTTTTAGTACTTGCTGGTGGCGAGAGTATGTGTGGAAGAAGTTCTTATATACATTGATCTTGAGTTGTAGTAGTAGATCCAAGAAACTTCACTCCTGTCAGCTCTGCCTTGACACCCACAATTGAGAGTAGACCTCTGAGATTATACTTAAGGAGTGGCAGTAATTGGAGAACGCAATTGTGCAGCAGATACTGTTCCTTTGTTGGACCATTTCTTATGGCAGAGGAATACAAATCTGATGGAAGGTTCATTTAACGTTTATATGGCATTGAGGACCAAGGGTGACATGTTAAAAAGTGGACAAGGAAGGCCAGACAAAGATGTAAAGGATAAAGCTAATTAAAGTGGATGGATAATCAGAATAAAAATGAGTTGTCAGGAAAGCTATGAATGCTTTCCGAGTGCTAAACTTCAGCAAAGACAATTCACTGTCTTTTATTTCTTCCAAGTTTTGATGGCAAAAGATTTGTTCCTCTGTCTTTCCTGAGGTTATAGATCGCATTGTTTATAAAGGATTAAGATTCTGAGCAATGGAATCACTTGCTTTGTTATTCCTTTCTTTTCTTTTCTATCAGGCATTACTGAATTTAGCTGAAAGATTAGGGGAGGCCAAGCCACGGGGACTCACCAAAGCAGATATTGAGCACCTTCCATCCTACCGCTTTAACCCAGAGAGCCATCAGTCTGAGCAAACCTTGTAAGTTCTCGAAGAAGCTGCTTTCCTGTGAAGTATCTCTGTATGCCATTCTCTCCTGCAACCTTACTGGTTGGATTTTTCACCCTTCCCAGGTGTGTGGTGTGCTTCAGTGACTTTGAAATCAGGCAGCTGCTGCGAGTTCTGCCCTGCAACCACGAGTTCCATGCTAAATGCATCGACAAATGGTTAAAGGTAAAATTGGCTGGTTTGACAGTCTTCTCTAATCAATCTCCAATAAAAATTATTCAAATAGTACCTGTCTTCTTGGGGGGGTGGGAGGGGGCGTCCGGTTGGTTTCTAAAGTAACCCTAAAGGCAAAGGCTTCCCTGGTTTCACAACATAGATACACCCATATCATTTTTCTGGCAGTCATAGAGTAGTGGTTCCATTAATCCAGCTACTTCCACTTTCTAGAATGTGAATATTATCTAAGAAACTGATTATACACAATGTATATAAGACATTGTCTATTAGCAGCTTCGGCTAATCTTTACTGGTTTCCAAAGGTGGTGGGTGGGGAGCAAAGCTTGATTGGATGGACTAGTACTTAAGTGGGCAATATGAAAAGCGGTCCAGGATGAAGACAATATTGTAAAAGTACTCTGGCATATCAATGCAATCAACAGAAGAACTCTGCAATAATGCTAATTTGGTATCTGAGCAAAGAGGAGACAGCTGGGGATAGCTTTTAAAGCAATTAGGGGAGCCTTTAATTCTTCCAGGGCAGGTCATTCATTCTCATTCCATGTGTTGCAAAGTACATCTCTTTTCAATGCTTTGCACAGCCCCATTGGACGTTATTTTATTCTGATGGAACCTAATTGTGCTGCTAGCTTCATTACATGACCATGACTTCCAGGATTACGTGAAAAGGAGAAATATTCAACAGCATATATGATACTTCTTAAATATCTGTAGAGTTTACCCTTCATTGTCATTTTTCTTTCACTAATAAAAAAAACTCAAAATCCTTTCACCTTTCTTGCTCTCATTCTCATTTTTCTCCTCCACGATTTCCTTTCCTAGAGTGACTAAAATTACACAGGTTGCTCCAAATGCAATAATTTAGCAACTTAGATCTGGAAAAAATTGTTCCAGTTCCTAACTGGTTACCTCTGTTGCGGTAGATCCCATGGTCATACAATCAAAGTGTGGTTGTTTGACAGCCTACTCGTATTTATGACCCCAGCATTCGCTCCACCTGCCTCTCCTCCCCTCTCATCGCTGCCCTTTGGCTGCCTTGCATGCTGCCATTGCAACCTGCCTCTGCTGCTGAGGTGCACTTAACCAATGGCAGTGCAGCTTCTGACTCCTGGCGAGGCCTTGTGCTTCTGCAGGATGACCAGAAGGGCAAAGATGGGAGGGATATAGGCGGGTGGGGAGAAGCGGGAGGCAAGTATGGTATGGTAACAGCATCCTCTGCCAAAAAGGGAATTTGCCGGGCACAGCGAGGGAAGACACAGCAGGTCAGAACTGGAAGTCTGTATAGGGTAGGAGAAGCATGAGGTCCTTACCTAATAACAGTACAATCCTCATCTCATGACAGCAACTAGAAATATCGGAACTGCCATTGCTAAGTGGTGCAATCACATGTTTCACAACCACTTTGCTTAGCCACAGAAATTCTGGTCAATGACTGACTATACATATAATGCATAATTCTTTGAGTGCCAGTACCACTTTGAGGAATTAATTGAATTCATTCCATTCATTGTAGGTTGAATATTTTGATAAACACTATTGACTTGCTTAGGGATGCGGTGGCTCAGTGGCTAAGACGCTAAGCTTGTTGATCTGAAAGGTCGGTAGTTCGGCAGTTCAAATTCCTAGCGCCACGTAATGGAGTGAGCTCCCGTTACTTGTCCCAGCTTCTGCCAACCTAGCAGTTCAAAAGCACGTAAAAAATGCAAGTAGAAAAATAGGGACCACTTTGGTGGGAAGGTAACAGCGTTTCATGCGCCTTTGGCGTTTAGTCATGCTGGTCACATGACCACGGAGACGTCTTTGGACAGCGCTGGCTCTTCAGCTTTGTAACGGAGATGAGCACTGCCCCCTAGAGCCAGAAACAGCTAGCACTTATGTGCGAGGGGAACCTTTACCTATTGAGTTGCTTATTGAATTGCTTGGACTTTGTGACTTCCCCTTCAGAAGGGATGTGACAACATTTCAGTTTAGTAGTTCTGAAACAGGCAGCCCTCAAAGCAGAGAAGTCCTTGTAGTGGAATTGCTGGAAATTCTCCAGTCGGTGAGCTTGGCCCGAAGGCCATATCCAAAGTCATGCTTTCATTGATCGTTGCAGGCAAACCGCACATGCCCCATCTGCCGAGCAGATGCTTCAGAAGTGCATCGGGAGGCCGAATGAGGTTCGTCAATGCACTGCTGCACAAATTTACTCCAGGATACGGACCTTGGACCAGAGGCCTGGGCCAGCCTGTATGCTTAGCCTCTGGGGCCTCTCCTGGGATGCGGTGAGAATATAAGCAATGTATGACACCCCCTCCCCCCTCACCCCATGGCATGGACTGGGCCTGGTGGTTGAGCCAGCTCTGCGGTGTCATGCTTTGTAGGGGGAGGCATCCCCACGTGCTCTGCACTCCAAAGACTCGCCCTCCTTGCACCATTGTTTTCCAGGTGTTTGCATTCCTTCTTGGTTTTGGGGTTTTTCCTTTCCTGTTTGGTTTTGTGGCTGTCTGAACCTAGATTTTTATCCGAGTTCATTTCTTTCTGGCAGAGCCAGATTTGGGGGCCTTGAAAGCAGAACAGCTCCAAGGGAGAGGGGGAAGAAGTGCCTGCTTCGACCCCACCACCTGCTTGCCTAGAGTACAGTGTTGCAAGATAGTAGCGGGGGGAGTATGTTGGTTGCAACACTGATGTAAGCCACTTGAGGCCTTGCCAAAAACAAACAAACATCTGTGGCTGTCTCCACGCTAATCATGGCCCACCGGCCCAGGACCACCCTGTGTTTTTCCCTACATATGCACAGAATAGTCCCACCAGCGTCTCAGACTCTCCCTCCCTTTGCATGCCCTGCAATGTTGGGTGGAGTTCAGGGTTGTTCTCACAAGTTGCACAGTGAGGTAAAGAAAAAAAAAAAATGGGCCTAAACCTTTAAGTCCAGCAATATTCTGCTGCAAGGCAGTTTTGGGGGAAAGACCCATTTTCCCCCCAGAAAGTTGGAAAGAGAGGAGGAGTATGCAAGTGAAAATCCCTACAATAAAACAGCCGGCTCTGTTTATTACATACTTAAATGAAATGAAGGCTTGTGGCTTGTGTTTTGAGATAACAGAATCATGTAATAATTGATGTGTCTTCCTTTTATTTTCCCTTTGCACACTCAGACCCCTAGATGATTGTCCTAGTAATATATCTGGGTTGCTATTCCTTCTCGGCACCCATCTCTAGAGAGCGCCCCTCCTCCATCCAGTTTTTGAGTTCTCCCCGGCAGACTGCCTGCCTATATGCTCTCTCCCCACCCCCACCCCCCGGCGTAGGGGAGAGAGAGAGATGCTCAGCAGACGGAGGCAAAAGCCTTCAGCTACTACCTTTCCTCAGTTCTCTGTCCCGCTGACTCCTGGCTAAGGCCCGAGAGTTGTTGGGCAGCTCCGGAAGACTCCCTGATAGGATCCTGAGCCGAGAGAGCAGGCAGGAGTTATTTAGCTTATTATTTACCCTTGCACTAGCCGTTACGGAGAAAGCCTTTCTGGCGACCCTCCCTCCCAAGGCTGCATGCAGTGCTGTGCATCGGCTTTCACAGGGCCAGGAAGGCCTTTACCTATCCTATCTTTTCCCCATCTCTTCCCTTCAGCAACCTCCCTTCCCCCCTTCTTCCTCTTCCCGTTTGGCCCTACGGATGAGCTTTTCTGTATGGCCTGATGCTTGTGCGCTCGGTCGGGAACTGTGGCTGATTTGGCCATGACACTCAAGCTGTGTGCCTTCTTGTGTCTGCACACACACACACACACACACACTCCTACCTAAAATACCTGCTGATTTGAAGCAAGAAAACAACCAACCTGCCACCCTGTTACAGAAAACCTGTTATCGTAAAAGTAATAAATTTAAAAATTGTCTTGCATGATTATATCATGGAATAAGAGAGAAGCTCTCGCCGTTTAGTTGGTTTGTGTCTGAAGCCTGGAAGAATCAAGAGAAGATGATAAAAATCTAATGTAAATGTTCACAAATTATGCATGCATGTTATGACCAGCTTGGAACTTGGTATTGGCTATCTCTCTTAGCCAGCTGTGGGGTGATGGGGTGGGTGGGAATGAGGGGGTTCTTTGTGCTCAGCTGATTACTGCCATGCACTGTACTGCACATGTCCGCAACGCCTCACGAGGACCGTTAACGCTTTTCAGGGCATTTCTCTCTCCCTCCCTCCCCTCCAAATTTAGGAGATTGGTTTGAAACCAGGTTGGGCTAGGAGGCAGCATAGTTTTAGTAGAGAGCCAGTTTGGTGTAGTGGTTAAGGCATCCGGCTAGAAACTGGGAGACACTGAGTTCTGGTCCTGCTTTATATACAAAGCCAGGTTGCAATCTTGGGCCAGTCAGACTCCTCAGCCCAAGGAAGGAGGCAACGGCAAACAACTTCTGAAATCGTAACTTGAAAACGGGAGGGCCTTGCCCAGCCATTCGTCGGGAGTCCACCCTGACTTTAAAGATGCATGCACATAAACACACGAGACAGTTTTAGTGGACTTAATTTGAGGTAGAGTTGCAAAGCTTAGGGGCAGATCTCTTCTGTATTAATAGCTGCCTTGGAAGGAGGACTCTGGCAGGGTCACTTTCTCCTTCATGGTGCTGCAGAAGTAGGAGAAAGGGGACCTGCTGACCACTCCTCCTCCCTTCTTTCTCCCTTGCCTGGTTTATCTTGTCCTGTGTCGATTAGTAAGGCTCCAGGGTAAATCCGGCAGTATCGTAATCGATCTCTGCCTCTCCGCAGCAAGTGTAGTTCGTGCTCTCTTTCAGTTTGATGGCATCTTCTGCCCTCCCTCCGTGACCCTCCTCCAAATGGTAGACCCAGACCGATGGTTAGATCTCGCCTCTTTCCCTTCAAAGTGGGGGCAACCGATAGGAAGAGGGGACTGCAAGGGAGCCTAAGGCCAAGGCCAGGAAGCATCCCCCGGGCCTTTCTGCCATCTTCTTTGTGTGCTGACCTCCAGTTGGTCTTGGTAAGAGGGCCTGGTGAATTTATGGAACAGCTAAGCAGGGCTCTACTTAGGGCCACGGGGATAAAAGGGAACAGTGACAAATAGATTAGGCAACGCGTGAAGTCCCACAAGTCTGAGAGGGCTCAGTCAGCCAAGAGGAGAGAAGGGCTACTAGTAATGGGAAGAGCGGCTTGTGTCCCATTTTTTCCTGTGAAGAAGGATAAAGACTGGAGGGGCGTGGCTCTGGTGCCATCTAGTTGTCATTTTTTTTTTCTGAACATGCCAGCTCTCAGCAATATTTTACCTCTAAAAGTAGGAGAGAAACTTTGGGATGTGGCTACGGCCAGTTGGCCTTTTGCCACTTGTCCCGCTAGCCATGTCTGGTGAGGCGACCAGCTTCTTCCCCCAGCCCTTGTTGAGATTCTTCACCCAGCTGAGGAGAGGCCATCCTCCCGGTGCGAGGAGGAGGAAAACGAGAAGGAGGCACGCAAACTTTAGTTTTGTGGCTTCTTTTTTTTGTCATAAGTGACAGTAGTAATGCTTAATAATACAGTTCGTCCCTGACTCGCAACCATTTGTTTAACGATCGTTTGAAATTACGTCGAAGCTGGAAAAAAAATGGGGCTTTATGACAGGTCCTTATGCTCAGTGATTGTTGGGGTACCCCAGCAGTTGCTAAGCACAATTTGTATGCTTGGCAATCAGCATGTATTTACGATGATTGCAGTGTTCCTGGGGGTCACTCGCAACCTTCCCAGCGGGCTTCCGACAAGCAAAGTCAATGGAGAAAGCCAGTTTCGCTTAAGGTCAGTGGCAAAAAGGCCGTAAAAGCGGGTGTGACTCAGTGACCTCACTGCTTAGCAACGGAAATTCAGTCCCAATTATGGTCATAAGTCAAGGGCTGCTGTAAAGATCCTCGGATCTTTAGTTCCTGCAAAGACACATCAAGGCAGGGTGGATGGACTGGCAGCCCTTGATTTGAAAGCAGCAGCTGGTTTGCAGATTGATAATTGAATTAGAAGCTCTGGGCAGGTCCCAGGTTTTTTTCCTTGAATAACAATCAATTGTTTCCAATTGTTAAGATGAAGATGAGTGCTACTTTTTAGAAGTCTCTCTCTCTCTCTCTCCTGCTCCGCTTACTCCATTTACGTTTTGGGGATGCAAGTTGCGGTGCATCCGCTCTTGGACCCCCCCCCAGTAAAGAATTTCCTCTTTCCCCTCCTCCTTTTCAGAGGGGGAGACTAGCTGCAGGGGGACATCTAAGCCAGGTCTTGGCCCGGGCACAGGCAAACACACCAAGGAACGGGCCGCTTGCCATCGTCTCCAACTGCAGACACCAGCAGCTTCCTTCCCAGTCCTCCCGTGACGTGTCCCGTTCCCTCTCTCCTGCCATGTCAAGCCAGTGCCTTGTGTCAGACCCGCCTCTTTCCCCCCAGCCTTTTCCCCCTTGTTCCACAGCTTTTGAAGGGAGAGAGAGGGAACCAACCCCTTATTCCACGTGTTACAAATAACCAAAGGTCTTTACTGTAGATATATATATATATTAAAAAGTTTAAGAGCAAACACACACGGGAGGTGTTTCTATATTTATAGCCAATCAGAATAGTGCCGATGCCCATCTGTTTTCAGTGTCTCTTCTCCTTCCCCCGCCATCTTTTCAGAAAGGTTATTTGGGGGTGGGGAGGGAAGGAAAGCCTTACGGTTCTTCTGACGGTGACTCGAAAGCTCACAGCTCGTGTGCTGCAGAATTTATTCCAAGGAGCAGCTAAAAGTTATCATGAAAAAAACAAAAAAATATTACTAAAACATTTATTTAGGATGTTTGTGATTGCTGATTGCGCTGTAGATGCCACTGTTTACCAATGATTTCCTGTGGTGGGATAGTGGGCTGTTTACTGTTCTTTTATACCAGTCCCGTGCCCTCCAGGAGGATAGCTCAGCTTCACCCTACAAGGAGAGGGGCCTCCCTGTAGGGCACCAGGGCATTTGTTCTGTGTTAGAAAGTTTATATATATATTATATATATTATAATATATATATATATATAATTTTTTTTGCTCTGTTACTTGCACATTTACAGTTACCTCATTTTTCCCATGTATGTATTTGGAAAAAAAAGGCTAATATATAGAGAAGAAAAAAATATCTTAAATCTCTAAAGTGTTTTGTTTTATTCCATTCCATTGGAATCATATTGGTTTGTAGCATTTAACATAACTAGTATGTTGTATTATATATGTGTATTATACTGATTGAAATTTTTAACAGATTTGTACTTTTTTTAAAATGAAAGTTGCTAGTTCTGCTTGACCAAGTAGTGCAATCATTATTTTTTTTAATGTTGTGGCTGATTTTGAGAGGGATATTCACTAATAAATGTATGATGTATACCAGAGGGCAGAATGGTCTCTTCTTTTGGCAAAGACAGTAATCTCAGAAAGGCATATTTTCCCCACAAGCTGTACAAACACACACACCCCTTAAATTGGTGGGAATATCTTCAGCTTACCCAAAGAAGTAAGAATGAATAACTTTACAATAATCGGAACATGAAGCTCATATAGTTGAGAAAGGTTTTTATGCAGTAATTACAAACCATATAACTAAAGAAGATTACAAAATAATCACAGAGATGACCAAGTTCTTAAAGTTGATGATGAAAAATTAATGAATTCCATATAACCACAAATGGCTCCCTAACAAATTTTCTCTGCGATGTGAAGATTAGACGTGAGGTGGGGGAAGATACTGTGAAATTGAGATCCAGTTTTTAAAGCGATTGAACAATAAAACTAGAGCATGAGCAATATCTTCATATAGTTTTTTTTTTAAACTAGCACAGAGTGTGAAAGTAATGAAATTCCAGCAGCCATTTGGCAGACGAAACAAAGTGCAATTGAAGATTGTGGATATTAGTATACTTTATGCAAATATCTTCACACACTGTTTTCAGTGCTGTTTGAAGCAGTTCTTTTCTAAAACTACTCAAACAACAGTGGGTATTTATATAGGATCTCTGGAACGTTAAATATCAGGGTTAGATATTTAGCCCTAGAAAGCAGCATGCATGCTAAGGAAAAAAAAATGCCTGAAGGAGCGTCTTTGAACAAATCCAGGAAGCTTTAACTAAGATTTAAGTATTCATTTGACTGCAATGCTTTCTTTCCTCCCTAGAAAGTGCACTTGCTTCTCAAGAGTATTATAGGAGTGAAAGGAGGGTGGGATACTGTACCTATGTAGCCTATCCTGAACTTTAAGGCTGGAAATAGTAAAAACCAATATTATAATCTACTTTTCAATGTTTTTAGATAGATGATATAGATTTTCTGTTATTTCTCACATCTTTTTGATCATAATTGTACTTGACACATCCCCAGGCACACTTAAAAATAATACTGCTCTGATTTTTTCATACAGTCTTGCATTCAGCTACATTTCCCTATTGGGGGCGGGGGGGGACAGTATTGCAGACAGAAAATGTTTCACATACAATCAAGCCTCATAAGCATTTTATATTCAGAGTTTAATGTAACTTTGATTATATGATCTGTCTTACCATTTTCCAATGATATCACAACATTGTATCACTATCGTTCTAATGCAGATCTTTAAAATACTCCTAGCCGGTCTTCATTTCAGCTTTTTACCCACTTTCAAAACAAATTTTAATTTCCAATAATTGCTTTTGCATATTCTTTACTTCTTAACTTGAAATTGCTTGCAGTTATTTTTTTCTGTGTACATATTAAGCAATCAATATCTTTCACCCCTGTTTATTTTTCATTCATTTTGTTGGACAGATAACCTGTAATTTAATACTTTTCCCTACAGGACTCCTTTTTTTGCAGTTTTTGTTAACTCTCATTTCTTTCATGTTTTCTTTTCCTTCATTTTCTTGCCAAGATCCATTCTTGATACAACCTAAACATGGTTTCACATTCAGAACTTCTCATCACTCTTGCAACCTTCACCAATTCTCTCAGCCACCCATCCTATACAATCAAATCAATGTGCCTTTAGAAACAAATTTATTCTTTTGCCACGACACATGCATGAATAGTCCACTTACTGAAAAGCCTTTTTCTAAACGTATTCACCAGCTACATTCTCATCCTTTCTTGGGTCTCAGAGTGGCCCAATCATTTTTCCATACTCCTTCATCTTGCTTTCATTCATCCATTCAAGATAATAGCTGTCCAACTGCCATTTTCAACTTTGCTGCCATCCTGTCACAAATCGCTAGGGAGGGGGAGGCGGAAATTGGCAATTGGCATGTAGGTAGAGATGGGCAAAGGGGCCAGTGACAGGCATGATGGAAGCCAGGTGGGAAAACCAGCCTGTTCCAGTCTTCAAGGCCATGGAGCCTGGGAAAGGAAGGCAAATTACACCAAACATCTGAGTTATTCCCAAAACACCTATGCCAAAGCTCATTGGACAAAGATGGACTTGTCCGGGGAGGGCAGGGAGCAAGGGGAAAATTTGTAACACTTCACACACAAAAGTTTAATTCTAGCCTTGCTTTGTTTGCAACCATTAATCCTTAGTAAAAGAACCTATCACTTCAACCAAATGGAGCAGAGGGTCTTTCTTTGCTAGGTCTTTCTTCTCACCTAGTTGGGGCAAGCCTGACATTAAATTAGATTGCCTTGGTGACCTGCATCATTCATTTGTAATGTTGCACCATTTTTTTCAAAGATTTAATTTCTGGTTCTTCCTATATCACTGGAGTTTTAAGATGCAACTGCCACCAACCTGAAGATAGATTTTGATATATTTTATCTGCTTCATCCATTGTTAAACCTGGATTTTCACTTCCTGGGCTATATACATCAATACCAGACCACTTTATTCAGATTTATTACACTTTTCTCCTTTCTTTGAGTTTCACAGAACTACATTGTGCATATTTTTCTTCAATTTATAGTTTATGGTTTACGTCTTAGAATTGTCATTATATTGTGAATATCACCATAACTATTGACATCTATCCCTCATGACTTTTGTTAAGTGAGATGTTCACTTTTTTTAAAAAAACTAGAGGAGATAAAAAATTACTTACTGGTCCTAATCATTCCTGTGCCACGTGCTGTATTCTCTGCTAGCAAGGAGGATGATACTGACCAATTTGAACACAATCTGGCCAGTATGCCACAATACAGCCAAAGCTATTTTACAGCTGGCATGGTCATAATATTCCATGTAATCTAACACTGAATCTAGAAAGACTACCTTGAAAACCAAAATGTTGCTTCTATCCCCCAAACATACACACTTAAAATGCATATTTATTTGTTTTCAAATTGTGAGCTGTAAAACTTCAACTATGCAACCTTTATTTGCTCAAGCTCTTCCTGCAAATACAAAACAATTTCCTTAAAATTTCTATAGTGAAAGTGAAGACATTAGAAAATAATTTAGGCTCTCTGGAAACTTAGCTTTCTTTAATTTTCTTTTTCATCTAGTCCATATGCCGGTCTAGGAATTTGTTAACTTCCAATGTACATAAAAGATTATCTTTTCACATTTGAATATCACTGTACATTTTCATTAGCTTTATGCAATTTTTTGTCTCTTGTTTAAGCACCATTTCCGCCACTTAAAAGCAGTTTAATTTCCTGTAGTTGTCACTGCTCATCATTACCTAAGTTGGTGACTTGAGAAAACATATCCCCCTTAATTCTGCAGCATATTAAACTCAGAGTACATAAAATATAAAAGGTTCTAAGCACTATTCTTAGTATATGTATTTACAAAACTCCCCAAAGGCCTATACATGGGAAATATGCACATAGATATAACATCAAGGAAGATGGCAACTGGAACTAGTCACTTGGCCCCAGTTTGACATTCAGAACCTCAGGATTTATGAAATTTGTTATGCTTCAAGGTAACCTTTTTGCTACCCAAACACAGCTACTTTTCAACAGTGGAACAGCTTGCTTCCTGAAGTTCTAGGTGCTCTTACCAATGAAGGTTTTCAACAAGACTGAACTGCCTTATGTTGAGAATGTATGTATGAGGATTTCTGTACTGACTTAACAGTTGGACTAAAAGAACTCCAAAGTCCCTTCCAATCCTAGAATTCTATAAACCTGGTTTCTCAGATTGAATTAAAATATTTTCTTCAGACCAAAATTTTGGAAACGTTATTGTGAATGTCCTCAGTCCAGCCTTCTTAAAGGTTGTTTCTAAAAGCTGCTACTTTAGCTACTCAGTGAGGGCACATCTATTTCACAAATCTCATGAACGGATTTTCAGTCATCAACAGTTAAAAACCTATTCAGTCAACAGAGAAAAATATTTGAATTGGGCATAATAGAAAACCTATCTGTACTGGCAAATGATTAATATGAATGATCCCAGAAATTTTGTGGTTGAACTAACCAGGACAATACTCTTGATGAATAGAAATTGTCCAGGAATGTATTTTAGCACAATGATGAACGCCTGTGAATATTATTCTCATTTATACTTTTAATTCATAAGGAGAAAATATCAGGGCTCCTTTAGACGAGAAGCCCTCAAGTACCTACCTTTACAAAACTGAAACTCTCCATAGATTGTGGGTCTTTGAGAAGGAGCTTAAAGATGTGCATGAGTTTTGTGGACAAATGTTTACCTCAAAGCACAGCCACTTACTTGCTTTTGTTATGTCAGAATTACCAGACGAGCTAGATTCAAGTAAATTTAGGACTACTGGAAGGTTTTAAACTCTACTACACACATGCTGCCAATAAAAACAGAGATTATATCCAGACACCTCCTTTCTGGTACTAAGAAGTTCTAA